AAATAAAAAAATCTGATCAGTAAAGAAGGGAGAGCCTTAAGTAGATATAGAGAGTTTAACTTTCCTGATACATTTCTAATTAAATATTTCCTGATAACAGATTGCCTTTCTCCCTGACCAAAGAATTTGAGCAATTAAGTCAAACATTGTCTTGTTAGTGAATCTCAGTGCTGCTGTTGTGCAGATCAGAGAATTTCACTGACACCATGGTTTCATATTTCAATGACTCCTAAATCCTAAAGAAGATGCAGTGTTACACTAGATACCACCAAACTGCTTCTATTGCTGCACCAACAGGACAACATTTCACTTCAATTGGCAATCACGTTTTCTGCCTTTATTTGAACTAATGAGCAGTGCAAATATGTGCAAAACGTTTAAGCGCAAAGCTTTCATAACGTGCCTCACCTTTAAGAACTATCAAGAACATTCAATTCTCGTAAAAGCTAGCCAAGCGAGTCAAAGCAAGAAGGAGAAAAAGGAGAAAGAAAGCACTTTATGGAGTGATTAAAAAAAAACGAACTAAAAAATTAAATTTACTCCAATTAACTAAAAAGGTACAGATATACATGGCTATAAATTTATTGGTCTTTATCCACTGATTCACAAATCACACAGACACATTGTTGCTTTACACATTGGTTCACCATTACCCAATGCATTGCAAATCTAACTATCTTTGCATTTTAATCTTTGCAGACATGTGAATGGTTATGTAGACTTATGCAAGTGTCTGGACTGTATTTTGAGTCCCAGAATCAAAACCCCCTCCTTTACATTAATCCTTCTAGAACAAATGTTCATTATCCATTGATTCAATACACTACGCACTTAAATAGAATGCATTCCCAGTAAAGACCAAGTTAATAAACCGTAAGCACATATACAATTAGATATTAGAAAGTCCAAGAGAAAGAGGAAAAAAATGCAATTGAAGGTAAAATTATAAAAAGGTTTATTCAGTATTACATTAGCAAAAGAACAGTAAAGGATGAAGCCTATCTGAAATCTTTTAGAAGATGAAAGGCACATGGCTACTGTGTTGAATTAATATTTACTTTTGGTGTTCATCAGAGAAGAAAGTGACTCAACTCAAATCTGAATTAAGAATGTTTGATATTAATTATATATATTATTAGGTTTATTTAGGTTATGGGAACAGAAATAAAATCAAGGGACCACCTGTATCATAGCAAGATTCTATTCTTAGGTACTGTACATCTTGCTTAAATAAATAGTTCTTTGGAAAATCAACAGGAGGAATCAGTACAAACAAAGTAAACAATGTTATTTTCAGAAGGATTACATTCCTTTATAATTCTCAAATTACAGGCAGCAGGCAGTCATGGTAATGTACAGTATGTATTTGAAGTGGGAACTGATTAATGGATCGAAAAACAGAATACACAGAAAGTGTAAACTGTTGTTTCACACTTACGCTGCTGATTTTTTGAGGAACCCAATGTAACTCATCCTGTTAAGTTCCCATTAAAGGATAAAAGGAAAGTTTGTATCTGCTGCCTCGGTATCTGCTCCCAAGAGTCTCGCGTCTAACCAGCATCTGCGTTTCTTCAGCTCGCGTGTGGAACAGTATATCTCTTGTTCACAGTATGGTATCTTAAAGTATACGTGCAACCCAGCAATTATTAGTTCCAACCACAGTGTTAGTGTCTAAACATTGATACCACGATAAAATAAAAAAAAATGCTGATTGAAATAGTCCTTGTTACACAGCTCTGTGGGAAAGGATCAGTATCAATGTTCCATCATTGCTGAGGGACTTGAGGCCTGTATCCACTACATTCTGTGTCTGCAAGATCCCCAGTCCTGAATGCACGCCACCTCAAGACCAAAGTGCTTTGATGTAGTTTAAGCTTCTACAACAGCAGATGAAAACGCGCACAGGCTTGTCTGAACTGCTGCAGATAAAGACACCAGGTATCTTTTGCCTGGGGAGGGCAATCAGCTGTGCTGGGCATTTTGGAACTACTACAGCAATATACTCTGTAGAGGCTGTGGGTGTATCTTTTATTCTCGGTAAACCAATGCAAAACTGAACAGCTGGAATCTCTCAGGTGTCTTGGCTCACACTCAACCAAAATGCACAAACCTCTTTTTTATATTTCCCCCACAATGCATTTATATTTTGCACTACAATAGAAAACCTTTTTTTTTTTGCTGGTCCATTCTGGTACGTCCTTTGCTGTTGATTTTATTCATTCATAAGGGCTATTTGCACCAATTGAATAATTTAACAAAAATGCAATCAGCATCTGAATCTGAATTCCTGCTGATTTTTTGCCCTGTAGGTGTTCAGGTAATGTTTCAGGGTATTGCTGGTCATCAGTGCGGCATAGTTTATTGATATACATAGGAAACGGAGATGAAAGATTTAGAAAGAATGGCTGTTTGACATTTCAAGGATGTGGAGTCCATACCAATTTCTATTTGTTCCAAAACAGACCAAAAATGAAACTGTTTAATTAAAAAACTTGGATCCATCCTCCAATCACAAATGGCGAACCCAGGAATCTATGGCAGTTTTCAATCACATTCAGTTACATGCCTTCCATCCCTGCTGAGTGGATCATGTTCAAAACGCTCCAGCACTTGTCTGGTCAGGGGAAGCAGTGTTCAACACTGTTCTTTCTTCTGGGACCAGTGACTAAGCCTGCTGTGAAATCTAAAGGACTTCTGTATAAATCTGAAAGAGCACTGGCCCCAGTACTGATCTCTGTGGTACTTAACTAATAACATCACCTTGATCTGAGGAATTCATCCCTTACCTGAAACATTTCTTTCCTTTCAAATGAAAGTTTCCTATCATGATCACCGAGATGCTTTATTTTTACAATACTTTTATCATTATGATAGATTTTTTCCAACAAGAAGAACCTCCACAAATCTGACTCGGTAAAATAAAAGTGGCTTGTCCATATGTCATTGTGAATACCTACCAGTCTTTACCAGCTTTTTTAAATAAAAAACAGTTTTTCTGTAACCTTTGCGTCAAAATTATGTGTGTAAATAACACTTTTCTAGCCTGTAAAACTTTGATAACCATTGTTTTTAAGCAAAAACTATCAATAAATCTGAAGTAGAAGATCAGACTAAAACCCATCAGCAACATAAGCCTGTAGTAGGGCCAAATCCCCATCAAATACACTGGAGTTAAAATACTTATGAGGCTTTTCAAAAGGTGTTGTTGATATTTTGATGCCATGGTCAGGCATTTCTGAATATAAAATCTATATGCAATACAAATTCACTGCAACGTCAGTCTAAGATGCCGACTACAAAGCACTGCCACCATCCTCTGAATGGGACCAAGTCATTTACAACAGTCATTTCACACTTCGGTCAAATCACGGGAACACCAGTGTTACATGGACAGCATGATTTCAGTGCACTACAGATTTATTGGATCCCCATGAACCAATTTTGCTGTGTACAGTACCATGAAATAGGAATATAACAATGTCATTGTGCACGAAACCACAGTATTTTTCAATCTGATGTGTTAATGACCAAAGCCAGAGTACTGAAGAAGCTGGGGAGCTTTATGTATTACACAATTACTAGCAGCATAAGAAAATAACTTCTTTTCTTACTTCTTTCTCTCAGGGAAACTGACATTGTTTTAATTGTGTTATCCCAGTACTGGGTTAAAAGGGTAAAAACTGAAGTGCTCCTTGACAGAGAAAGGAATGGGACATCTCAACTTTGTCAGTGCGTTTACACCTCACATCACCTCGTGACTCCAGACACCTTTTGCAATATTGTACCAGTGATGTTACCTCACTGGGGACACAGAGGTGCCTCTCTGAAGGCCCTTCAACACATGGAGTGGAGGGCTTGCTGCTGCTGGATACACAGGCCCTGTGATTAAGTTGGGCCATATCTGAGCTCCCGTACCTCTCAATGTGAGGATGTCCCTGCTCCGGGACCTCTAAGCCCTGCTTAGCACCTACTAAGAGACGAAAAGGTTAATGTGTATAGCGAGTAGAGCTATCCTCCGTCTCTGCTGTCCCTTCGATCCGGTTGCCTGCGGGCTCGAAGTTGCACGACGCTCCTCCCTATAACTCCACCTACGGGGCTTGGGCACTTCCTGCTCTGCCAGCGCAGACCTTCAGGAACTGAGATGGGACTGTTGTTGCATTCTGATGTTCAGACTCTCAGCAGCATTTCCTCAGAAACCAGGGGAAAAGTGTTTGAGAAGATGGGACTGTGTACTTCTGAAATCTGGCTAAAACTAGGTGAACAAAGAACAAAAGTGCTAGCTTATACCTTTTTGCTAATGAAAATGCATTTAAATAATGGTTCAAAGAAAACAATGAAAAAAATAGAATGTTATCCTTAAAAGTATAGATTGTCCGAATGTTTACCCATACTACAGTTGCAACACACGTATTTCTACGTATTTTTAATCAGTGTTGCACTCGGGCTCAGAGCCACACAGCGCAGCTCCGCTGTGCCCAAAGACCTGGTCTTCTGCAGCTGCACAATTCCACACCGTCTCGGTTTCAAAGGGCAACAAGCTTCTGTTAATGCGCTCACTGTACCGAGCCCTGTCACACGTATGGCATAGGCTAGCAGGAGATTATACGGTCCGATTCCAAAACCCTACAGATCCCTTGACAGGTCAGCTCAGCATCAGCGTAGGCCTAATAACCTATGATTCTGGCATTAGAAAACACGGAGTAAAAAAGATTTCAGTTGGTAATTGCACTGTAGTTATAAGTTATGCACGTGTCCAAGCTAAGGACTCCGGTAGCTCTCTTGCCTGCCGTATTTTTGCTCGTCTCTCCCGTTTACATCAAACTCCGGCACCTCATGATTTACAAATTAACGACAGTATCGGCCTACGTGGCCAATAACCCCTTCCACAACTGTTTCATGAGCATATAAGGAGTGCTTTAAGGGCTTGCGTTGGGTTGAAACTTCATTTGTTTCATTTTATTACTTCGGGTCTAAAAAACAAACGTTACGAAAGTACCTACTTTATCTCCAGAAGTAAAAGTGTGCAGGTCCGTGTGAGGCCCAGAGAATCACTGCCGCTGTGATTCGTGAGTAGAATGAAAGGGCTGAGTGACCAAACTCTTCTGCCAACAAATTTCTTGCAGATCTGAATTGCTTTTCATGGCTAGTATGCATCAAGACAGTAACATGTTGCAGACGCTGCAAGAAAAAAATAAGTCCATTTCACACCTTTCTGTCCACAAAGGAACAAACCTTTGTTCCAGAATGGAAGCGTCTTTGCTTTTCAGGGTCTTTGGGTGTGTGCTGTTCAAGTCAAGTTCGGAGTCTGGAGTGTCCCTAACGAGTTCAAGTGTCTAGCAGGTTCGAGTGTCTGAAAGGTGTCTAGGTCTAGCTCTGTGTGTGAGTTTTAAAAGACCAGTCTAATTATTAAAATGTTTGGAAACTGCTGAGTGGTGCAATACTAAGCCTTCTTGTTAAATGCAAGACATGTGTGGTGAAAGTGAACCTAATTGGATCACAGTGAAACCACAATCTGTACAATTTGCTGCCTTCTCAAACAGCTGGAACCAAATTGTTGCATCTTAACGTTTTGCCATCTTTCTTCTTAAAAAATAAAGAAGTTTGAAAGACTTTGCTTTCAAATAACTTGCTGCCTAGCAACCCCGTGGCACAGACAAGGATAGTGGGACACCCTGCCAGGTCATGTGACCTAAACCCCCATATTCAAACACACAGTGTCCTACTGCACATTTACCATTCCCTTTTCCAAGCATAAAATGGATTTCGAGACCTCTTTACAAGAACTAAACGTACCGAAAGATAAACTCACTCCAAATCAGCAGCTGCCATTTATCAAACATTTACATGCATGTCTAAAGGAGTGGCTTACTCTATTACCCAAAAAACAAAAATGCAACAGTTTGTGCGTCTGTGGGAACTAAAATAAAATTGACTGACCGCTTTGTAAAACACATACAAAGCACTCAAATGAATATTACAGCACTTCTAGGTGCCTGACACTTCGGTAGCGATAATCACATTGTTGAAAACATCACCATCTGTGGCGTGAGTCAGTGTTATGGAACTAATGCTTCCTGCAAACAAAGGGAGGGAGAAGAGAAACTGGGGACTTTGGAACCTCTTGTAATGAGCATTCTGTTCTGAAATCACGAAAGCATCACACTCGGACGTTTTTAAAAAGCGTAACCATAGAGCAGTGCACCTTTCGAAGCAACCAAAGAAGGACGTCAATTCAAAATGTCCTGAAATAAATTGCTTTTTAAAAAAAAATTAATCCTTTAACACCCAGGTTAGGGTGTGAGCAGTTCCAAGGAATGATGGGTATGAATATGAATGATCTCTTCATCCAATCACAACGCTACAGGAGACAACATGTCACGGGTAGGATGAAGTTCGAGTAGTAGCTGCCTCCGCCTTCTCAGCCAAAACGTTATGCCTCTTTTTTTTTTCTTTCAGCATGGAATAGAACTTTACCGTTCCATATCATGGGTATGAATAATAATTAGCTATTGCCATATTACAACAGTTGGGAGTCTTATAACTTTGGACATCAAGTAAGTCATTTTTGTAAGATTTTACATATACGAGCCTACAAAACACTATCAAAACTCCTTCACAAATACTACACAGCACAATAAAATTTCACATGAACATACCAGGACTACTGTTACTTATCTGAAGAAATTCCTAGTCAGCTCTCAAGTCCTTAATAGCACCTTCCGTTATTTTAACCTGACTTCTCTCTTCTTGGAGTTCTGCTCTTAGTTTCTTGCTGAAACTCCCTTGCAAACCCCCTGCAAATGACCGTGCACTTGCAATGTCATTTGCACAAATGGTTCTCAAAGATTACACGTCATACGCCATCTTTGTGAAGGAGACAGTATTTTTTAGACCCACTCAAGTAAAGACTCCCAGTTGTTTTACACTACATGCACATACTGTATTCTCATGGACGTGGAGGGTATTTGGAAAGGGGGTTCTGTGGGTAGTACAATCCTGTGAATGAGGGTCAAGCTCAACATATCTACCTGAAGACATGTCTTGAGCAAGTTACAGTTTTGTTTTCTCCCATGACTTCAGTAGGTCATCTTCTCTCGGAAGGAAAGACGAAACAGGTTCAGCTAACCACAGTCACTCTTGATGAGAAACACTAGTGTGCTCTGGACGTACAGCTGTATGCTTTCTGCTTAGGCAGGAAAGGCCCAGGCTTTAATTAATAAACCAATTCAATTATTTGCCAATGTATTCATTTACCCATTTAAATCTCAATAAATGGGTCAGTTTATTTATTAAAGGCTGGGCCAAACACATTGTAGCTGAAAATCAGCAGTTGTGCTTCAGAAATAAATGTTTTTTCCCTTCTCCGTGCACTTTTAAGGTCTTAACATACTGAACTTCGTATGCCATATTCTGCAAATGGACAGCACGACAGGACACCAGAAAATTGATTCTGCTGTTGCGAGACAGAAATGAAGCTGAGCTCTGGCAACCCCATATATAATTTGAGAAGTGGTTTGGATTAGCTACACACAGTATTTTGGATCTGCCTTCTACACCCATTTTCAGTCAGTTCCTGAATGTGTTGTGGGTTATATTAAACAGATTACACTGTAGAGAATGAAAAAGTGACCCAAGCCTTTGCTTCTTGTTTCTCTGCTGAATACCTTTTGATTAAGTGAAAGCCTGCCCACAGTGCTTCTGTGTCTGGACAGTAACAGGGTTCCAGGCGATGCACGCCACCCCTGGCAGCACCAAGACCTTTATTAATATTTCAGCAGCCTTGGCAACAAGAGACCTTTTGTTAATTTCAACACAAAATGAAATGCAATGCCTCCTTTTCTTTTTTCTTCTCACAAGACTAATATTTTAAGTGTAATAAAGGAGATTTGCAATTCTCAACCAGATTCACGCACGCAGCACAACAGAGTCTACAGTGTCCTGTTTTAACAAAATGAGCTTGTTGCTGCTTGTTTTTCCTTTCGTGCGACTTCTAAGTGTCTACCCACTACCGCAACACTGCCTTTTCCTTGTCGGTACTGTACAGAATGCAGACAGGCACACACGTGGTCTGATCCTTTCCAGAAAATAAACCTGATGGGAAGAAAACTTGGCCAGTTATTATCGTGTCCCCATCATGATTAGTGAACAGGAAGCCAGTCAAATCCCACTGGCATTATGTATTCAGAAGACATTCATAGATAAACACATAGGTCATGCTTACTGCAAGATGGTGATGGATCAAACTCAACTGCGCCCAGGTCTTCCAGCTCGGTGCGAAGGCTCTCTGTGAAACCTGTGAAGTCAACAGAGAAGTTATTCTTATGCGATCTGCAGACGGCTTCAGATCAAAACAACAGGGGCTGGAGATCAAACAAACAAACACCACAGCCTGGCCACTGTCCTTAGCTGACAGTTTCTACAATGCCCAGGGAATAGGACACAAATTTTAATGCATCTCTACTGTAAATATATGATTCTTGAAGTGGGCAGCATGGTACCAATGGTGATTAGTGCTCCAACCCCACAGCTCGTGGGACCCAGGTTTGATTCCTAACTAGAGCACCTTCTCGGCACAGTCTGATGTTGTTTTTAATCGTCATGTGGGATCTCTATTGGAGCTTCGGTTTGACAGGGTCTGGGTTAACAGGTGACGATGGTCTGCGTGTGTAATTAATGTTTCTTGTGGCCAGTGTCAGCCAGGTCAGGCTCTGGGCTCAACGCTAAGCAGTTATTGAAAAGGGACAGACAGGCGATTCCTGATATTTTTTCTGATAACTCAAAGTCTTTCCATGCCTCCTGATCCGTGATGACAACAACCCTTCACAAAGAAGGAACGCAACTCTGTCAAATGAAACAGGAACACAGCTTCCAAACGGAGAAAGGAAAACTTAGAAACATCTGAGGCTTGGCAGCATCTTGCACATCGAGAAGCTCACACCTTCATTGGATTTTATTGGCAGCTGATTAACCTTCAGCCACAGCTGTCAAGGAGCAGAGCTTACAAGGTTAACCGCCAGACAGCAAAAGAGCAAGCCAGATGCAAAACTGAAATCCAAATGCCTCTCCGCCCTGGATCTCAGATGGGCTTCTCTCTTTTGTGGTCGATGCTATGTTCTTAAGAGCTGTGTATTTAAAGTATACTGTAAAAAACAACATATGGAGAGAAAGAATTTCATTTAGCTTTATCACCCAAGAACTGCAAATTCAGAAGTCTAAACCTATGGTATGAGGATGTCTGTTAGGTCTGATTATATGAGCCGAAGCCCTTTCGTGCCACTAATGGGATATGTAAAAAGTCAGGGTGCCCATCTGCTGACTCCCTGCACTAAAAGCCAAAGAGGATGGAGAACATCTGACCAATCTGTAGGTATGAGTCCGCTGGGAAGACCAGCAACAATGTCTGGCAAAAAGACTTAACACTTCAGGACTGCGGAGACTGTTTGTGTTTCACTGGAGCGGTACACTGCTCCATGTGCAGAGCTTAAAAGCATATATGCTTTGAAACACAGCACAGCAAGGAAAGACATCGTAAATAACATTGAAACCACAGATGTGAAAAAGCCCAAAAATACAAAAAAGGCTCTTCTCTGTTCCGTTTTTAGACTACTTCTAATCTTCTCTGAAGAGCCTCATTTTTGAACGGCTGTTGGAGTGAAAAACTTTGTCTGATTTCATTAAGTAATGCCGATATCCGAGCATTGCCCGGTTCCAAGTTGATTTATTTTTCATTCTAAACATAGCTGTGTACTGCACTTCTTTACATGGGCTTGGAAAAAAAAAGGGGAAAAAAAAGCTTTGAAATTTGTTTTTTGGGGGAGGAGGATACTCTCCAAGCGGGACCAGTGCTTCACAAAATGAGGCAGCTGCCGAGTTTGTGAAGCTCATCTCTCCAGAGTCATGTACAATCTGATACCATTTACCATGTTTAAACTCCCCAACAGTACTTGATGGAGCTGAAATGAGGTACCAATACCACAGAGACCCACCCCGGGGAGCCAGAATGAAGATTAGGCTGTAGAAGGAAAGCCAAGTGTGTCTCGAGGGCTGCCCACCTCCCCGACCTAAACCGCGCTGTTGTGCGTCTTCAACCCATCCCTAGCGCCCCCACAACAGGTGGCTCCCTAGCATGGTTCATGCTCATGAAGGGTACCGCAAAAAACTGAAGATCAATCAGCACATAACATCAACTGCATCCTGCAGGAACAGATTTATATTTTTGAGGAAGTGCCGTGCTACTGACTGCTTCAGATGCCACGTTTTCCGGATGTTTGAAATAAATTGTTCCAGTACGAAGTGCAGCCTAATTAGCGAGCTGAAGTAAAAAAAAAATCAAGACGAGTCCCAGAAGCAGGGTGGGAGAGAAGGAGGCTGCTTCTCCCTGATGAATCAGCAGTGTATCCCCTAGGACACATTATGAAAACAGAAATGAGAGACAAGGATTCTTTGAAGCAGAGCGAACTCGCATGCTTTCAGGTTAAATGTGACCACAAACGGACCAGGACTATACGCCAGGTTTTGAGAGGATAACATTCTCTTCACTGCCATAATATCTCCAAGCCACCATCCACTTGTCTTGAATCAAAGATCGCCGCATGTTTTTCTGTTGTTCTAGTCGTTAAAAACAAGTTCGCAAAGTGAGCAGATTTCAAAATCAGATGAGAAAGGAGAAAACACTTCAGAGTTTTAGTGCAGCCACCATAGAAATTGCACTGTTACTAATCTCTTTTTTTTTCCCCAACTTTTCCTACCTGGTATCACTTTCATAAAACATGGGTGTTGTGGGGCTACAATTTCCAACGATTTCTAAATAGGCATATCAATGTCAAGAATTACACACTCAACAAAAGAAGCCAGAGGCACAGTGTTTGCACTTAAAACATTTATAGACTGCTAAGAAATGGAAGTGGATTATAGCAGAGGTTAACTCCTAAATCTTTTAGCTTTGAGGAGGCAGTTTTATAGGCACCCTGTTACTGGGTCCTGTTAATAGCTTACACACAAGGCCTGGCTTAGGCTTGAAGGAAAACGTATTCCCAACAAGTGAAACAGCTCACAGCTCAGTATTCGGCACGGTTAGGGTTCACTTCCTAATCTGTGCATGGTTTACTCTGAACAGCAAAGCAGCTCAAACCCAATTTACCAGCTATGTACGAGCTGCCCAGAAGGCCTTGAGCTGATAAATTACTAGTGAGGCGGGATCTTTCCGACTGTTTCTCTCCGCACGCATCCTATCAAGCTGGAACATTTCTCGAGTGATCCCCAAGGATGCCAACCAGGAATTCAGGAGGTCGAACAGGAGCAAGCATGCCACCACCTCCACTTCCACTCGGACTTGTCAGATCCCAGGATTGGACCGCCGGGCACTGCCGACTACGATGGCTGAGCCGATCGCCATCCAAGAGCCCCTCCTTCGTAGTGCCAGTTCCATCTGCTTCCCGATCCGATGCCAAGTCCCATCCTCCAGGGGAATGGAGCCCCTCACCCCCCCGCCACAGTGCCCCGATGAAAACGCGCCTGACAGAATGAGACGCGAGGGAGGACAGGAATTTTAGAAGTCATCCAAGTTGGAAACCAAATGAGCTGGTAGCGTGACTGCCCTTCACCTGGTGTAGCCCACTTTCGAGTTGCCAGACTTTTTAAGCCACCTCCCCACCTGGGCTACTCCAGGTAAAGGACAGTCACGCACACAATTTTGTTCTGGATTCAAAAGCTCTGACTGACAAGAAAACACAGACTTCATATCCTTCTTCAGAAGCACAAACGCTTTGTCCAAGATTCTTACAGCATTGTATTCTGTATCCCAAAGGGTATGTCCAGTGAGAGAATCTACACAGATGAAGGTATTGAGTTCACTGCCTCCTTGATATACAATGTACTAGCCTGGGGACTGAAAAACCTGAAATGCTCAAGCTTCTATGTTAAGAGAATCTAAATGGCTTCCCACTGCATTTGCATAAAATTGCGTCACAAAGAAAGATTCTGAATGGCTTAGAACTATGCAAACGCTCCATTGTCGAGAGTATAATCGTCAGTGCTCTGAGCAATGGCCAGAGCTCATACACAATCCAGTCCTCCTGCTTCAGTGCCATCCTGGAAGTATGGTTTAGGCATCATGCACTCAGACAATGGGAAAACAGATGTCATGCTGAAGGCTTAACTGCCATTTCCTAGCAGTGGTACTGTCAGTGGATGTTCAAGGCATATTTGAATATCTATAAGTCATTCAAAACTGCAGCCAGGAACTAACATAAGTGACAGGCGCTCCATTTGATAGAGGTCTTTAGCATATAGCTCCACAGCTACCTATCTTAAACACCAGTGTTCCATACAACAGGAAAGATACAGAAGCACACCACTACCATATGGGTGTCAAGAACTCACTCAAAGTGCAACAGTCCCTCTCCTGTTTAATGTCCGAGTACAGGCAGACGGAGAGTACAAAGAATTGGATGGATTGCAGTCTATTTAATTGTTCAGCAACATAAACACATCAGCTACTGCAAAGCAAACAAAGAACTTTGAACAACAATTTAAAAAAAAAAAAGAGTTCACACCTCTGCCTTGTTGTACCTCCCGTCTCACACCTGATTTTCTGAGGTGAACGGACGCAGACGTCCAAGCAGGGACGAAAGGAGTTCTCCTGTTCTCTCTTTGCCAAATGATTTACCTCCCACAATCAGGCACCGTATCTCTCTCTCTTTAAATATACATCTCTAACCCGGACAATAGACGGGAACTGAGCACCACCACCAAACATGTGGCAGGGCAGCAGGAAAACTGCAGAGTTTCACAACAACCGAGAAGCAGAAAAACACAGAGCATTCAAACATGTTGATTTTGCTGTAAGCTGCACCTTCATTTTATGTGGGATCAAGAGGTAAAAAAAATAATGCATCACCATGCAGAGTGTGCAGAAAAAGACCAAGCCACAGCGTCAGTGACAGCGTGTTTTGTAACATATGAAACAGCAGCTGAAGTACTGGGAAGTCTGGAGAATGAAGGTGCAAGGAGAAAAGCAGAGCAACTGGCCTCACACAATAGAAATGCCCATCACAAATGCATTGACTAGCTCCTGATAAATACACAAAACAAAATCGATGGAAACAATTAAATACACCAACGTGGTAATAAAACTCCTTTGCCAACGTTTTCAAATTTCAAAGGCCTTTCTCTTAAAGACCTGCTTAATTACCGGAGGAGACATTTTGGTTTTATGAGAAAAAGCCTCTATAACAAGGGGGATCCCTGAATATCCTCGAGTTTCGGAAGTGAGATCTGTACGACACTGTTTCG